ATCAATAAGGCAACCAATCAGCGAAAGAAGTTCGCGATTAGTTACGGACCTGTACCCTATCCCACGAAATGACGTTGCAGCTCTGCGCGGTTTGCATTTCGCCTTCATGATTCTATTATAGCACGAGTTTCAACAGAAGGCAAATTGTAAAGCGCGAGAAAAGGAAGAGCCACAAAGAACTTTTATGATACAGAGCGGAAATCCGTAACAAATTTCAAACTCTTTTTACCAATTAATCACGTTATTCCTGAGAGCCACACATTACACAACGTTAAAATCGGTGCCATCCTTTTTGACAACGAATTAATAAATTCGCACACTCTTAATTGTGCAGATATTCTCTAAGGTCTTTCTCTAAGGATCTTTCTCTAACGGACACACATTTGTAATCTTCATCATAAATTTAGACTATATGAGGTCGCGACACGTTCCGAATATCTTCACCATAAGTCGTAATATCGACGTAATCCATTTATAGGATAAATTCAATCAATATCTGTCCGGTGCGTGCAGGACGCGTCTTATATGGCGACGTCAGGCGCTTTTTGCCACGACCATAAATCGCGGCCTATGATGAGCTACATGTGTCGACGGCACGCCACGGTTTCTTGCGAAAACGTGAGCCGCGACCCAATGGGCCTCGCGATTTTTACATCTTGTTTGCTTCCACGAGGTCCTGCAAGCCCACACTCGTTCCTGCGAGTCTATATGGCGCTCCGTGTTATTTCGCGATCTTCGAGTTCCTCAGGACTGTTCTGCCTGTTCTTCGCTACTCTTTGCCTTTCTTATTTTCGAGCCTAGCTGAGTTGTCGCCACGATTCGTAAGGTCGTCGGAGATACTTCGTCACCGTATATCAAGAAACATCGTTCACAAATGTATTAAAGATAAAATTTAAAAATATATACTTTTTAGACATATGATATAAATTTTGTAATATTTTGAATGTAATGTCTAAAGATGTTAAATTATTGAAACTTTTAAAAATAATACACAGTGACAAAATGTTAATATTACTCTCGTTTATATAAATCGCAATTGTTCTTGAATGAGCAATTTAATTTTCTAATTTCTGTATGTCTATTAAGAGTGAAAGCCAAACGCTCTTTTAAACCCTCATTTTTCTTTACATTGACATCTTAAGTTGCTGAAATGGCAATCTCTGTCTCAGCACAAGTAATAAATCCATCTTTCTGTTCTTTATAACATTTGTAATGAATCATTGTAAGCGATTTTACATCCAGCCTACCACTTGACATCATGGACTACCATCTTATGTCTAATGGCTGTATTACGATACACATCTACATAAATCATCACGTCGCCGATATCGTCGTCGGGGACCACCATCGCCAGTATGTCGTTTTAGATTCCACGTGTAGGTGGTTACACCATAACTCGTTCTGTCTCCTGACAGATACTCGGGTCGCGACAGTAGCAATAATTCCTAACGATTTTATCTCTGTGGAATTTTAGCCGAGACGCAAATGTCCCTCGTAAAGATGCGCGACGATGCCGCTTAGGACAATCTCGAAAACGATGTGGTCGTGGAGATCGCAGCTTTTTGCTCTATATGCTTCATCGAGGATCTACATCGAAAGGCCAACCGTTCGTCCGACGAACTGTTTCATAATAAAACTTATACCCTAGTATTGATACTAATTTTTTCGAATCGGAATTATCAAGTGGTCTGTAAACTTGATTTATTATAAAATCTAGAATACTTTTTATAAATACGTACTTTATAAATTCTTTGAAGTAAAATCTTATTTTAAGGAGTAAAAATTCGGCCAGCTGCTCTTTTTCTTTGAAAAAGAGTAGCTCAATTTTCGATCTTTAAGAGTGAGAGTCACTCTAAAATGTTTGGAAAGCATACATTGTAGTCTTATAACGATTTCTTGCAATAATTTAATAGATAATAGGATTGTCGTCATTTGTATTCGTCAATTTAAAGAAATCATTTTAAATAAGAATTTAATATAAGAACTTAGATAAATTAATTCCTTTTTATTAATAAAACATTAATAAAAAATATATCATTGCAATTGAAAATATAGCGATGTATAATTGACATATCTAGCTAGAAAAAAAGTGTCCCATCTATTTTATTTTCCGCAAGTTTTCGCAAAACTACATAAAAGGGTCTGGACTCAAAATATTTCGAATCTGTTTCATAATAAAACTTATCGTTTCTAAATCTGTCCCAACTGCCGGGTTGAAGAGACAGATTCCAAAGCAGTACGCGAGTACAACTTAAGGAACTCGATGTGTGCGCGCGTGTTTACCCTACGGATACATTCTGACTGCACCTCCAACTTGCTATTTGAACGAGTCGATAAAACCGCCGTCGAACTATTTATCGTACGCGGAACAAGCGAGAATGATGTACTCGCTTCGTTGACGGCAAACAATTGCTGTACCGGGAGATTATCGAGTCGCGCTTTTTATCCTTCATCTGAACTTTCCTCGTACTGTGTCTTTCACCGCGTCGCATTCTTTCTCTCACTTCTCACACATTCTTCGTTTCGTTCTTCTATGACCTCGCGCATGCCGATAACAGTATATTTCCGTGCCTTCAAGAAACAAGACCGCGACTTGCTTATCTACGAGTGAGACAGTCCGATTGTTTGAAAATCATAAATCCTGTAGAAACCAAGAAAAATCGAACGGATTGGTTTCCACGAATCACAAAATCTATGACGAGGCAATGAGTTTATCGAGGGCGTTTGTTGCAAATGGTTAACCCACGTTCTTAAGACATGATTCAACGAACACCACGACTTCATATATTTAAAGAACCGGAAAAAAAAGAAATAGGAAAGGAAAAAAACAGAAACTCTCTAATAAAATTTTTAAAAACTGATGATGAGAAAATGAACTGTCTCTGAAGAAAGAACTTTCACTTTTAAAGAAATTTCGCTTTGAAAATTAAACTTTTTTCAGGACTAAATCGATTTAAAGAACTTTTTAAAGTGACATTTCAGTCCAAAGAAAAGAGTGACAAATCTATTTTATTCTGCAGTAAATTTTTTCTATCCCTTCATTCTTCTTCTTTTCTCAGTTTTTTTTTCTCAAATAAAAGAATGCATATACGATACAAATAAATACCATGAAACATCAACAGCAAAGATTACATAACAGAATGACAGAATTTATTTTCTTCAAGCAAAGAAAACTGCAAGAAAATAAATGTGCAATTTTTTGTGTCTCAAAAATAACGGAAAATTTTTTGAAATTGAATAGTTTTGTTAAATAATTAACAAATTCTATGTTACAACACGTAGCCATATCTCTTCCTGTCTACTCGACAAATTGATCTCCTCAGCTGTCTTTGTTAAACGAATTTGTGACACTTTCATGCTCTCTCGTTGTTAGTCTTTAGAATTGCGCGAGAACGTCTCGACTAGAAGGCAACACGATTACTAACGGTGTAATCCATTCAGTCATGGTAGTCTGACATTATGATAAATAATATCTGGAACTGATCGAATTTGGGATGAGAGAGGAAATAGGGCAAGAATTCACCGTAACAACGAGTTGTGTAACGGCATAAATCTTTTTTCTACTTTTCTTCAACGCACCTGTCTTCCCACTTCCGCCAACGCCAACTCTGCATTAATATTAAAGAAAATCGTTGCTCATTTTTCTCCTTCTTCTCTTTCTTCTATGATTTTGTTCGACCACGTTCTATCTGTTCTCAATGTTCACTACTGTTAAGAAGAGAGTTCGAGATGTCACTGTCATAACGCAAAAGACTCGTAACGAATCTAGAATTTCGAACCCAGGATGGTTCGTTACGGACGATACCATCATGCCACCATTGATCCGTCGTTGAATCGTTTAACGTCTTATTCTTGTTCAATTTTACGGATTCTATCATTTCGATACGCACGCGTATTTAATCGGCCGAGGAAAGTTTCCCATCGACTTGTAGTCGATCACTCTGAAGAAGTAGTTTAGAATAGGCAGCTTAAATAGAAAATGCTACAAACTTTCTAATCTCCTTGGCTTACCTCTCTATACAACATTCAATAATTTGCGTCAGATGTGATATAATTATTATTTTGTAAAAATGCCATATATATAGAAATTTACCTAATAAATCATTGTATTATATATAATATATTATTATATTATTATTAAAAATTACATAAGATAATGTGTATTTCTCTCTGTTTCTCTCTTCCTCTCTTTCTCTAAATGCATTATTATATTTTAATAAAAAGATACTTATAAATAACAAAAATTAATTAAAATAATTAACTTCATAAAATTTAACTTAAAAATATAGAACACCACGTAATATTTTTTCACTAATGGGACAATGCAACACTGTCTCGGAATGGTGCGAGCTCACAATTTATGAAATTGTTTCGTCCGCTCTTCTCTCGCACGATATCTTCACCGACACAAAAGGAGCCGGCACGCACCTGCACCTTATGCAGATAAGGTTGAGGTGCTTCAGGTCAGCCCACTCAGGGTTAAGGTCACGTACCGTCTTTTACCTCTCGCTCTATCTTTCTCCGTCTCTTCCTCTGTCGTTCTTCTTGTCGCTCTCTCTTATGCACACTCCTTATTCTCTTATTCTCCCTCGCTTCCACCTGCGAGAACTTCTCGCGCAGGTAGTCTCTCGCGGAGGATTGAGACGTTGCCTGACGTCACCACTCACCTCCTACCCAGCCAGTAGAAAAATATTAATAATTATCAAGAAGAAAATTAACATTTTATCAAAAATTCGTCACGCTTCTAATAGAAAAATAATTACTGAGGGTTTATTTTTATCAGAAATATTCAAGAATATTATACAACTGAACAAATAAAACTAAAAACTGAAAGATTTAACGATGCAATATTTACAATAAAAGCAATAATACGTGTAATAGTTTATTTTAATAGAATTTGAATCTGCGTTTTCTCTGTTTTCACATTTTTCATGCGCTGAAGGAGGAATTTAGTTTCACAACACGTCGCGCATCGTGAATTTTCCGTGATTTTCTTGCAGGATGTCGAGAGACTGCTTTCATCTACGCCATCACGAGTGCAGCAGTGACTCACAGTATCGCTAGGGCATGTAGCGAAGGCAGCATTCAGTCGTGCTCCTGTGATTACACTCACCAGTCACGCGTATCATCTGCCGTTCGAGATTGGGAATGGGGTGGTTGCTCGGATAACATTGGATATGGCTTCAAATTCTCTCGCGAATTCGTCGATACTGGTGAACGTGGCCGAAATCTCCGTGAGAAGATGAATCTACATAACAATGAGGCTGGCAGAGCAGTAAGCTTTTCCTCAATTTCGTTTTATTTAAATATATATATATATATATATATATATATATATAAAGAATGAAAATGTTAAAGTTACTCTTCTAAATAATATTTATTTATTTCATTTGTGATTTAAATTCAGATAAAAACGAAATATTCATATTTAATCTGAATATTCGAAATTCATTAACAGCTTGCTATTTTATGTGTTGGCATATTTGTGTTGAACAAAATAATTAACCTGCAATAAGCCATTCATCGCGAGATGAGAAAGATAAGATCACCATGAATATTAATTTTAATTGCAAAGAGAGAGAAAAATTACAGGACTTCGCCTCTCTCATTACAGCACGTGACTTCGGAGATGCGTCAGGAATGCAAGTGTCACGGTATGTCCGGCTCGTGCACAGTAAAGACCTGCTGGATGCGGCTGCCGAATTTCCGTGTGGTCGGCGATAACTTGAAGGATCGTTTCGACGGGGCTTCTCGGGTAATGGTCAGTAACTCAGACCGAGTGCGCGTTACCAACAATGCCATCACCAGCAACTCGGCGAGCAACTCCGTGCATCAGCATCGTGATGGTCTCGGACGTCGGCAGCGCTACAATTTCCAGCTGAAGCCATACAATCCGGAGCATAAGCCGCCCGGGCAGAAGGATCTGGTCTACGTGGAGCCGTCACCGCCATTCTGCGAGAAGAATCCTAAACTCGGCATCTTGGGCACTCACGGGCGACAGTGCAACGACACGAGCATCGGCGTTGATGGCTGCGACCTGATGTGCTGCGGTAGGGGTCACAAGACTCAGGAGGTGACAGTAATCGAGAGGTGCTCCTGCACTTTCCACTGGTGCTGCGAAGTCAAGTGTCAGCTGTGCAGGACGAAAAAGACGGTACACACATGTCTGTGAAAAGAAACTCGATCGTAAGATATCTCGTAATCTTGATCATCTTCGATACAACCTTCGTACAGGGTTAAACGATCAAAGTTCGAACTTTTCCTGTTTTCGCGATACTTCCTTGTATAACGATATACGTTGAATTCAAAGGATGAGACTATTTCTTTTAATTTAAAGGAGAGTCTGAGATAATCTCTCGTAAACTGTCGCGACGGTCTGTTTCGAGAGATCCTGTCATAGGTCTTGCCGGATGGAGTCGAAGTCGTCGTGGAGTCTTCCGCGTGAACCCGCGGGACCTCCTCGTCTTCAGTATTACGCGAAACGAACGGAACTACATATATTTATTATGCTGCGTCGCGCGCGTATTAAAGACTGAAATGGTGAGAAGCGTTCGTACGATCGTAGATTTTTAAGGCTTTAAGGTAGGAAGATTGTATGGGATGCGGTAGAAGGGCGATGTAAATACCAGCGTAAAATATTTGCGTAACGTCGGTTCACTAACTCGCTATTCACTGATGAGGATCAGATTGATCCATCACTGCTCCCATAAATAAAAGATTCTGACATCTCAGCTGTGACAATGTTATACGGTAGAAAAAAATAATTTAAGGCTGCTGCTATTCGCACGTCTCATCCGACCATTACTCATCGAAGACATTCGATAAAATTGTTGTCTCCGCTGATAATATTCTAATTCAATTCATTACATCTTTTCATCTATTAATCACATTGGATTAGAGCTTGCTTCTCCGCTATAGAGGCTTATTGATCACGATAAGTAAGCTGATGCACGAAGAAGCCTTCAATTATTTTATCCTACTGCATGAGGTCTTCGTTTTAAGTGATGTTCACATTGGTGATGATTGACATTGGCTATAACGCGAGCATCGTGGTCTCGTGAAAGCATTATTTATTTTAATAGTATTCTTTTTGCATTTTAGACACTCGCTCCCTCGGGGAAACAAGCAATCTCGTATACAGATCGCAAACTTGTATATAAATAAATTATAGCGATATATTTTGCAGCAATGCGAGCCAATCGATGGCCAATATATTCCTTCGTAAGAAACTATTGTAAATACAAGCAGATTTACACACACGCGATGAAGGTGAAGCCCTAAAGGGGAGTGGTAAATTATTTTTATAACTTTTTCATATTCCGCTCTTTTTTCACTTCTTTCTTTATCGAGCGCTGGGATATCGAGAATCCCACGGATTTAGAAATACCTTTTGTCAATGCTTGATAGAAAGATTACTCTTCGAATGAGAAAATTTTAATAAATAAGCTAATTCCAATGTTGTGCATAATAGATGTATTAATTATTGCCCGTAATTTATATAAATAAACATATAAGAAGATTAAATAAACTGTTACTTTTATATCCTATCTGTTTCTCTCCCAATAAATTATAAAAATACTTTCATTAATTTTAAACAAGTGATTGCATCGATCTATCGTCTATTACTTTCGTCAATAATCTATTAAACGATACTTTATATTATATTTAACATTTAATCGAAATATAAAAATCACAACACAAGAGTAAGTATACTTTGCTTATTATTTAAAAATAAAATAATAAATTGATATAATTCTTAAATGCAATGATTAATAGCTTTCTGTCATAATATACGTTCGGAAGAATAAATTGATAAATTGATTTTATAGGAACTAAAATTCTCATAAATGCGAGGTCTATATTCGAACGCTGAAACCTCTTTCGCGGATCTCCGTGGATAAAATGTACGAGCAATCCCTCGAACTTCGGCCCTACGGTCAATGTGCCGCGCCGCTGTGCCGTGTCGCAAGACTATTCAATATTTTCCCATTACACGATGCGCGCCGCCGTCGACGTACTCCCGCGAAATATAGCCAACTGGTTCCCCAACTGGACGACTTCATAATTTCTGCGCCGAGTAAATGTCGTGGGAGGCCCATGCCCCGAGGAGGACTCGTTCGGCTCTCCTCATCCTCCTCTTGTTTCCTTCTCTCTCTCTCTCTCTCTCTCTCTCTCTCCCCTCCTCTCCTCCCCCCTTCTTGCCTCTCCTCCTTTTTCTCATCGCGTTCTTTCTTCCTGCATCTCTGCCTTCCACCGTTTCAGCGAATGCTGCACGCGATGATAACGAACGCAGGAATCCCGCAGGAATCTCCGTGCGGGATAAAAGGACTCTGACCGCATACGAACAGGCATCCGCGCTAATGGTACCAACACTCGCCGACCTACCGGCTTTCTTTCCCTCTCTTTCCCGCCCCTTTTCACCTTTTTTTCCACATGCTCCTTCTCTCGATCTACCTTCTGCTGCCGCTTCCTCCTTCTGTTGCGGGTCTCTCTTTCTCTATCGTTGGACCACCAGTTCTTTTATCTGCCGTTCATGCTCACGAATAATAAGTATTTCTTTTTAGATTTGTAAGAGAAAGAGAAAGAGAGAGAGGAAAAGCGTGAGAGAGAGAGAATGAGAGAGTATCTAAGAGCTTAAAAATTGATCTATTAATGTTGAATCAAAAATACTACGTTCTTTTTAGATTAATTAGTGAAAAATTATAATATATGATAAATTAATATAGAGAATTGTCGTGTGAATAAACTAAAGAAATAAAATACAATTTTTTCATTAGAAGAAAAGCAATTTATGACTTAATGATTTACTTAATAAAATGTTCGTCAGTTTATGACAGCAAATTTAAGATCTTAACATCAAATACTTTAATAAATTACTGTCTATACATTATAAACCAAGCTAAGAGAAATTATCATCCAATTCGAAATACCACTATAAATATAATAATTCTAATACCTAAATAATATGTCTGGGCAATTCTAAGCAAATTATTTTTCGCTGAGTATGTTACTTTTTTTTTATAATATGAAATTTTATCTATTATATACATAACTGATATATCCAAAGTTTGTAGTAATAAAGTTCAGAATGAATCAAACATAAATTCAAGTTATGTAACACAGATTCAGCATTTACGTCTATCTCATTGCATAATGGCCAATCAACTTCCGCCATCGAATTCCTTATATCGTCCATCACATTGAGATCCACATTCAGCGATGCAACTCAGAGGGATATCACGATAGTAAAATTCTTGCGAGTGAGCGAGCAGAGGAGAGAGAGAGAAAGAGAGGAAGAGAGAGAGAGAGAGAGAGAGAGAGAGAGAGAGAGAGAGAGAGAAGAAAAGGGAGAGGGAGAGAGAAAAAGAACGTCCAGCGTCCCGGCAGACAAGAATCTCGGGCAGCCGGACCACTTCTCACGGCGGTCTCTTTGATCTTACCTGACCCACCCACCCCCTCGGTCCCCTACCTCGACCAACGGACACCAGCAGCCTCTCCAGCCCTTCCTTTCCCCGTCCTCGCGAGTTCGGGTTTTTACCCCGGGCCAACTCGACGTTGAGCGGCAGCCAACCCTCCCTTTTCGCCACTCTACCTCTTGGCCACCATCCTCGCATTCTCGAAAAGCACGAGCGCGTCTTGGAGGCGACTGAGGTAGATTCATTCAGTTTTACTATTATTACGCATACCGTCACGCGTGCGGTTCGTTTCAGCTCGGGGAATGCGATCCTGGATCCCGGCGATCCCGTCGAGGCGCTTGGTAGATGCGCCGGCTTAATGGAACGGATGTCTGGGAGGCGGAGAGTCGCGGATAAATACGACATGTCGTTAAGAGACCCCTCTGTAGCTCTTGAATCCTGGCCAACATGGAAAGTAGCGCGTGCCAATTTCATTTCGCAAGTTCTTCTTGCAATTCACAAATTCTATATAAATACACGCGGTAGAAGTCTACTTAAATTTAAAAAAAAAATTAACATTATTATTTTTTATACCCTAAAGATTTAGCCTACGTTTTAAAAACAAAGGAAAAACTTTTCCTTTGGAATTCTTTACTTGAGTATTATTCAAGTTTCAGTAATTTGATTATAAAAGAGAAGCGATACTAAATTAAATATTATTAACTTCGATATATTAAAACTTTGATATATAAATTAAATTATAAATAATTTTACTACAAACATTTTATTCGTTAAAGTAGACGTTCCACCGCTGGTAAGATCGATTTTTTTGTTTCATTTATTTATGTATACCGCTTGCGAATAAAAACGATGATGGTAGCTCAAGCTAATTGGAAATAAAGTGCGCCGTCGTGTCATCGACACTTTTTACCAACGCTTCTTTCGCCGCCTCTATCGTTATTTGAATCTTTTGCATGGTTCCCTCGCCGGCGAAGAGAAGAGCGATCCCTGTCCCCGACGCTGCGATCTGATAGAGGCGACGAAAACATTTAGAGGTTATAAGAGCCCCCCGGAACGATAAAATCGGGGCAGCCAGGCGGGCGGAACGACACGCGGCGTGTCGTGCACGAACACACGCGCGTGGCATCCTGATGGGCTCCTCTTCGCTCCGCACGCGGAGGCACTCGATTGTCATTCTCGTGCTGTGCATTTCGTATTCGTGAAACGTAAATCGGATGCAAGCGCTGATACAGAGGATTCTTCACAATGGATCATTATTACCTACGAGAACTAAAAAAAATGCCATATTTTTCTTTTCATTTTTAAATTCATAATATCTCTGCCGACGTTTAAAAACTTCCCTTATATATAAATGAAATAATAGTAGGTAGTGATTAATTATTTATTTTGAATATTAAAAGTACTGTTGTTCTTAAGTGCTTTTAATATCCAAAATAAGTAATTAATTACTATTCAGTATTTAATTTATAAGTATTAAGAATTGGATGTATAGTCTGTGCTAAAAATCATTGGAATTGAAAACTTAAATTTTTTTGTAACAAAAAAGTGAATATTTTACAAACATATGAAAGAGTTCAATAAGATCAGTATTTGTATTTAACAATACAGTTTCATAGTTTAAATAAAAAATTTTTTTCACTTTATTTTAATAACATGTCTGCTTCTTATTAAAATAATTTTTAATCCAGATTGCTTTCAAATTTTTTGTGTTACTTTAAAAATAATACAATATTTTATAAATTTATAATTTTTCATAATTTTTTAATTAAATACACGTATAATACATTAAATTGAAGACTTTTATAAGTACTAGAATTTTTAAATAATTTCCAACTTGTTTCAATTAAGCGAATAAAAACGAAAAGTGCGATGGAAAGTGTTAGTATGATATGTTTAGGAAAATTTCAAAACTTTGTTCATTATCTTACACAGTTCTCGCCCATCTTCAAATCATTTCAAATAAAAAAAAAATATGTATGCACACGTAAATCAACTAATTTATCGTTTTTGTGATCGCGTAAGCCAAAAATAGGTAGTCCATGATTGTGGTTCACGTCGTCATCCTGGTCCACATCGTCGCCGGGATATAGGAATGGCTGGAATCTCTTTTGGCGGGACCTGGAGCTCGTCGTCGTAGCTATTCGTGGGAAAGAATATCGGCTGACATTCGAGACCACACCGTCGAATTATCGGCGTTTTGGCATGTTATAAAGCCCCAAAGCGCACCTCCTACCCCGTCCTGGCTTCTCATTTCGCTTCCTCGATCATTCCTCCTCCGACCGCCCTCCACGGAACCAGTAAAGAGAATCTCCAGCGGAATCCGCGTCTCCGACGACTGTGGGAACGAAATCGCGAATCGGCCGCTGCTTGGAACCAGCGTGTATCAACGTGTCGGTCGACACCCGGATTCCTTTCGAATCCTCCGGCCTTTCGTTCGTAAAACTTTCAAGAGAAGTTCTTTTCTTTCTCTCTATCTCTTTTTTTCTTTCTTTCTTTCTTTCTTTCAATTGCTGTCGATATTCTTATCTTTGATTCTCTCGTACTTTGTTCAATTATTTTCGAAAATTCAAAAATTCCAGCAAAGTTTAGTATCTCTATAGTCTATAATTTGGAGTAATCGCTCTAACATTTAAAAATGATTTCGATACGATAGGGCACAAGAAAGATGGGCTGAATTTTCATTCGTGTGTGTATGTGTGTTTCAATATTTTATGCTTAAATTTATTTGAAAATTATATAAATTTTCATTAATTAATAGGTACTTGTAATATAATATTAAATATTTAAATGACAAGAAAATATAGAAGCAATATCGATTTTTAAATTAGCTTAACGATAAGGCTAATCAATTCGACAAAAAGAAAATATTATTCGCAGCAATTTTAATATTTTACGAAGTAATTCTAAAGAGGTGACAATCTCAACGTGCAAGAAATCTAACGCTATCCTTGCTCTTTCATCCGTGACGGTCGTAGCAAGTAAGTAAGTCATTGAAGAACTCAAAAAATATACCGGACCACCCTGGACGCGATTCCGTGGATAATCCTTCGGGTACCACCGGGTAGATTT